ACTGGCAGAACGAGCTATGGCTGTGCAGGGCCATGGCCAATGAGGGAAGCTTCAGTCCACCTGTAGCAAAAGAAAAGGGAGCTGATTCCCACAGAAACAACGCCCCTTTCTAATCCAGATGCACTGGGGCATTGGGCTGACACAGCTTCCCCTGGCCTGCTAGGACAGGGGGAAATCCTGCCCTGTGACGCTGCCATACTAGCAATGGAGAAGGAGCAGGACATCCAGCCTGGCAGGGACAGACACAAGACCAAACGAGGCCCTTCTGTTTCCAGTGAGAGCACCGGCAAAGACGATCGACTCTCACCCCTCTGCTTTCCACAGAAACTTTGGAAAATGCTGGAAAGTGACCAATTCCGGTCCATTTGGTGGAGTGACAGTGGAAAATGTGTTGCAATCAATGAAGAACTCTTCAAAGAGGAGGTGCTGGGCACGGGAAGACTTCAACGGGTTTTTTACACGCAGAGAATCAAGAGTGTTATTCGCCAGCTGCACATCTATGGATTCACCAAAATGCAGCAGAATGACCAGAGATCTGCCTCCCTGCCTGAATTCCTGGCAGAGGAAGCAGCAGTTTCTGCTCACAGCCAGGTACAGCACCTGCTCTGAACATCAACTAGTGCTTGTGGTAGTCCTGAGGAGAGAGGGACCTTCACTGAAAATAAGGCCTCACCATAGAGGAGATGGAGGTGGCAATGAGAGGTCTGGTTTTCATTTCCTTCTCAGGCTGTGCTCAGGCAGGTTCGAGTTAGTCTTTCTGACTATTAGAAATGCAGATAAGAGACAGTTTGGTGAGATCTGCTGAGGCTGAGCTCATGAAAGGGAAAGACAGGCTCAGCATAACCTGATTTGTCCAAATGTCTTTGCTCTGTGTTTTGCTGTACCAAATCTGAAGCCTTCCAGCAGCACCTGCTGAATGCTGAGCAAATGCATCTAAGGAGCACAGGGTTACCTGACTGCTCATATCCACACTGAAGCTGCTCAAAACCAGTGATACTTGGCTTTTGAAAGCAGTTGTTCTGCTTTTGAAAAGCCTACATTGCTCTGCCCCCAGAGGGGAAAACCCCAGGGGTAGGATGACTGAACACAATTATCACACAATGCTTTAGCCTGAGCTTTAGGTTCCATACAGCTCTCAGAGCCCTTTTCTGTGTCCATGCTCCTCTTTTGCAATTCAGAGTCCTAGTTCTTGTAG